GATTTTCCATGATGGCTGACTAGATTGACATCAGCATTTGGATTTTGTCCGATAGATGTGATATCCCCGATGCATTTGAGTGCTATTATCACAGACATTACCCGTTATGACAATAAGTTGACAACCAGGACTGATAACGGTATACCGATATTTATTTACTTTATATATATACTTTTTTGTTTTCATATATCCTAATTTCATATGTAAGCAGTGATGGATTACCCAATATGCTGAGTCAGCACGTGCGTAGGGACCCCAAGGTTGTCAATAATACCAAACTTCATCCTTAAGCTCCCCCTCCCAAATGTCTAGTAAGCAAATGGCAGGCTGCAGCCTTATGTTGTAAAAGCATATTGAATATCCTATTCAAAAGTGTAACAGTAAAATATATTAAATCAAGAAACTAATGAAGAAGAGATACAACCATAAAGAATTGATCAATTTTTACAAAACTGCAGAGCTCCCATATGTTACAAGGTTACACCGCAGCAGCAGACACAAACTTATTGCCACTCTTTACCATCCACAAACATGCTGTTAAGTTTTTGGAAAAGTTTAGATGTCCTGCAAAATGTTCTTGATCAAAAAATTCTTAATTTATATAGTGCTGCTGAAGCAGATACTACTCATCTACTCACTCCTTTATTACCAACAAAATGTGCAGAAAGAAGATAAAGTACATGTATTATGGAATTAAGAAACAACAAAAAACATGACTTACCAGTGAAACCAAGAATCCAATCAATCAAAAGAACATCTACTTACTGTGAACATGCACTTTTTAATAACAGTTAAACTTAGCATTTTTAGTACCAGTATTTCATTTTATAAATTATCTATACTTCAAATTTGACATTGTAAAATCATTGTAAAAATAACTGTATCTGTGCTATTAAAACTAAAAAGGTATCTTATCTTAGGAAAGTTTGACAGACAGATTTCTTACTTTAGTTTTTCATTTTTTCATATCTGAAAATGAAACACTTATCTTAGTGATGGTGAAAAACGGAAACGTGAAAGGAAATTGAAAGCACCTATCGAAGGAGTGAGGCCACTGACAAGATTTGGTTTTGTACCCCTGTCAACAGAACCATCAGCAGCAGAGCTTAACATCATGCCTGATGCAGAGGAGACAAGAAATGTTGAACAACAAGATGAGGATGTTGCAACACCCAAAATGGATATGCAGTTTACAAAACATACTTGTGAAGTATTTAGTCATGATCCTGCTGACTGAACAGTAAGTGAGGAACTGATAGAATACTTCATTCAAATGGGGCACATTCCTCAAAATACTGATTTTGATTCTCCAGACTTTGTGAATTCTACTGCATTCAGTAGAGCTTATGACCAAGAATGTCAGTACTGGTAAAATTTGTTACAATGTGTTATTGATGTCATTCTCTTCCTGGATTAAAATGGACTTGCTTTAAGACGGCACAATGAACTAATAGGTTCTGTGGACAATGGGAACTATCTTGGAATTCTAGAGTTGTTAGGAAAATATGATGTATTCCTGGCAACTCACATAGAATGTTATGGGATCTGTGGACAGAGTCTTGTGTCATATCTGTCTTCAACCATTTGTGAATAATTTGTTAATTTACTTGGATATCAGATTCTGGATGAAATCTAAATACTTTGGTATAATAGCTGATTCCACCCCAGATTTACAACATGTTGACCAACTGACATTTACTGTAAGGTATGTTTATCCCAACAATTCAGTAGTTGTGGAGAGATTTCTTAAATTTATACCCATATCGAGTCATAACGTAGATTTAGCTAATGTTATAACACAATACTTGTCCAACTATGGTCTTGAACACTGTTGCTTTCAGAGCTATGACAACATTTCTAATATGTCAAGAAAATATCAAGGAGTGCAAAGCAGGATTGAATAATGCAATCCTCTGGCTGAATTTGTACCCTCACTCAATCAAGAAGTTCACACAGTGGCGAGATGTAGAAGCTGTCTCCTTTTTGGAATTGTTCAGAAGGTATATGCATTTCTGTCAGGTTCTACATATAGATGGAAACTGCTGAATGATACACCAAAGCCACAATCCAGAAATGATTAAGTGATTTAAGTGAAGTCACTTTCTGACACAAGATGACCTGCAAGGTATGAAGCAATGAAAGCACTCAAAGTGAATTATGTTTGTATCACTCGTCCAGAAGTTAAAAGTATTTCTGCTACATTGTGTGAACTAGAAACAGTTTTTCTTTGTGTATTCTGGAGTGATGTTTTGTACACATGTATCAAGTTAATCTCTTGCTGCAAACTGATTGGCTTGTTCTGAAGAGTGTTGTAAACCATATGAAATCTTTGACAGAATTTCTGTTGGCTATTCAGGGAGAGTTTGAAAATTTTGAGCAACAAGCCAAGGAAATGCTATAGAAAATTATGAATGAATCAGAAACAAAATAACGTTATCATGTTTAATGTAAACAAAAAACGAAGTGCAAGAAGCAACATGATGAATTGCCTGTTCCTGAGCACACATTCAGCCCTCAAGAGAAATTTAGGACTCAAACATTCCTGGTCTTATGTGAGTCTTATCATAGAGATAGACAAGCTTTCTGTGGCATATGAATGTGTGCATAGTGAGCTCTCTTTCCTTTTTGACTACAAAAATGAAAATCTCCGAGTAAAAAAGAACACCATCTAAAAACTAGTTGAAAAATATCAAAATTACTTGGAAGAGCTTGAAAATTAATTGACCAATTTCCATGAACATGTGGTGAAAGAACTGCCAGAAAATGCTGAAATCAGTTCCCTGAAGATCATTAAAAAAAATTTTGTCAAACAAATGTTTTCCCAGATTTATTTTACAATGCCATGTTCTGTCTGTGAAGGAGAGAGATCTTTCTCAAAATTTTCTCATATCAAGAATGAAAAAAAAAATAACAATGTGTTAAGGCATTGAGTATTATGTGCATTGAACATGATTTCATGAAGAAAATAGATTTTTCATCAATAATCAAAACATTTGCTCAATTAAAAGTTCAAAAAGTAAATATGTGGCATAAATGTGTGACAAACCAAACACTAATATTCTCATGTTTATTAAAAAATAGATTATTTTATTTTGTAAATATTTTTAATTTTTTTAATTTTATATATTGATAGGAAAAGTAAGAAATTATCAATCGTCAGTGTAGTATTGTTGGATAATATTAGTTAGCAAGGGGCCCCTATTTTCTCCTGTGCCTAGGGGTCCATGATGAGGTTAATCTGGCACTGTATATAAGTTTGATATTATTTTGTTGCAGATATAATGGCTCCCAAGAACAAATGCCATTTTTGGACCTCCTGGCTAAGTGATCATGAATACTGTTTATGGATCAAAGAGGTTCCTGGAAATCCATGCAGTTCTTCTTGTACTGTGTGCAGGCTTCAGCCATTTCTTGTCCTGTTCCAAACTGATGCACCAATCATCCCATTTTATTAAACAACTGGAAGAGCTCCTATTCAACTTGATGTCATGCTTCATTAAAAAACAAGTCATAGAGGGAGTTGACACCTACTATAAACTGATCAACATTGATGTAACTGATAATGCAAATAAAGTTGATCCTAAGTGAACTGACCTGGGATTCAGTGCAAGAAATCCACTAAACTCATTGGTTGAATAGAAAACTGTAAATGAACTCCTCACTCTGGAGTTCAAGAAAGAATGTCAAAATTTGCTCTCCACAACCACTAACAAAATTCTTGAAAGATCTCTTCTTAAATACCCATTTGTTAATCATCTGTCATCATTGGATTCAAATGAAACGACAGCAGTACCTAATGACTGCATCACCAAATTCAAGAATGTTCTCAACATTCTCTTTTTCCAGCAAATGGCACACTGGGGAGCAGTGTAATCAGCTGTTACTTGATCTTAAAACATTTCTGCAAAAGATAAAAGATAAACATGCTGATGACTTCAAAAACTTCCACTCTGCTGAGAGACTGAATGTTTTTCTTTGTAAGTACATAATGTCAAATTCAACAACCTTTTAGATCTGTTCAGAATGATTTTGTCTCTCTCTCTCATGACCAAGCCTTTGTTGAAAGAGGTTATTCTGTGAAAAAAACTGTTCTTGTAGAAAATCTACAAGAGAAATCCACCATAGCTTTGAGAATGGTGTATGACTGTTTCTCAGTCATCATACACTCTATATCAAATACCACTGACTGCAACGTTGAAGCATAATGTGAGGTCTACAAGAATGAGGTAAATACAATATTTAGAAGATCATGATAATGCTAAAAAGCAAGATGTAAAAAACAAAGAAAAGGAAAGCTGCTCAAGAAGAGTCAAGTGTCTTACAGAATCAAGAAAAAAAATCTGATAAGCAATCATTAATCTACAGAAAGAAGCAAATTCCCTTGTAAATAAAGCAGAAAAGCAGCATGATTTTACACTACTTTCTAAATCTAATGCTTTAAGAGCAAAAGTTTCTGAAAAATTGAAGGAAGTTCACAAACTTGAAGAAAGAATCAAAGCACTGAGTGAGAAATCCCAATGAACTGACCATACTACTTCTTATTTGTTAATTGTGTTTTCGCCAAATGATGGTTGAATTTCATGTAATTATCTTTCAAAATTCATGCTTGTATGCTTTTCATAAATGCAGAGAATAATACTTTTTTATAATACAAGTACATTATATTTGTGTATCTATATATGTATGTATAGTTTTGTATAGTTGTACTAAAAATTATTGTACTGTAAAGGACAGACAATAAATTTCATAAATAATTGAGTATTTTATGTGCAACTTCTCTGTATTAAGCCCTGAAACATTTAACCAAAAGTCCTGGATTTTTTTTCCATAATATCTGTGGGAATCCTGATAAGGGGCACTTAACATTGCAATTTGTGCCATGAATCATGAGAAGAATTATGCACTCTGTAGGCTGCAACACAGCATGACATGTGAACTTCAAAAGCAAAAAATAAAATTATTTGTTACTCTTAATTTTGGTTTTATTTACTCTTGAAAGGGAACACTTTCAGTGACTCTACAGAAGTACATCTAGTAACTATAATAGTTTTATACCAAAGAAAATCTGATAAAATTTTGGTATACAGAACTCATATACTTACCAGTAATATAAAACTATTTAAAAAAAAGATTAAATAACATTAAATGTTATTTAAACAAGAATGATTTTCCAATGAAAGTGTTAACTAGCATAATCAACAAGTACATCAAGAAAGTTTTTACCCCTAACGAGTAGGTATATATAATGTACCAAAGAAGCAAAAATACCTTAAAATTAAGAAACAACTTTAAACTTTGCTGTGCAACATTTATCTGCAAATAGAACTTTAAAGTTATCCTTAATCCCACCATCAGAATAAGGAACTATTTTGTGTTTATATATAGAATAAGTGAACCAAACTGCTCAAACATTATCTACATGTATAAATGTCGAGTGTTCTAGAGTATATATAGGATCTACTACAAGAGGGTTGGCAGATAGTCAAGGAGGACAGTTTACCAAGATATGTGGAAGTATAGAATATTCTGAAATGTGTTAGTTTGTAGTGACAATCCTATAATTATTGATACTAGTGAGCATTTAATGAGTGTAATTAAACTACTACAAACTATTTATTAAAGTATTTGAAGTGCACCTCTAGAGGCTTTTCTAAAAATCTACTATGATCAAAGAGAAGGTAAGTTCAGAGTCTGTAAACACTGCCTTAATATAAACAGGAAAAACAACTGTGAAAGTTGAGACTCAATATACTTAACTCTCAACTTTAAAATACAACTGGCCATCAATAATACATTGTACATGAATCAAAGGCTGTACACTAGTGATCCAGTTACAGAAGATCTTCTTATAAAAACTAATACAAAAAATATTCAAAATTACAACATAGAAGATTTAACAAACTAAATTCTTGGTCACATACATTAAATATACTATCATACAACAGGCATAGTTCAAACACAACAATGTGGCACTTGTTACATCAGTTTCAACCCTCACAAAGGATTATCATGAATTATTCGAGTCTGAAAAAAGTGGCCTTCTTGGTAACCATTTAATGATATGCACTGTATTATCTTCAACTCCAGCAGCAAGCAACACTCCTTTATCATTCTTGCCATCCAAGCCATTCAACCAGTCCCTCTCACCTAAAATTAGCTGGGAGCAGTCTGTTGTTGACGGTCTAGAATGTAAGTTTAAACATATAAATATTATTACATTAACTTGAGTTTGCTGATATATATATTATAGTCCTTAAATACTAAAATAAATGTATTCAAAATGTAATAACAGAAAAAAATATTATACAAACACTTTGGAACACTGAAGTTACCAAGTGAGAAATGAAGAGTTCTTAAGCTCAGAAAACAAGTAACGATACATAAAGAAAGTTTCAATAAATAGAAGTAGCATACAAGAACAATTCAAATTAATAATGCATAAAAACAATTAAGGAAACAAAGGATAATTTCACACATACAAACAGTGATGTCATGCAAATATAAAACTGAATATAGTTGTCATAATAATTTATATGTAAGAACTACTAAATCCACATTTTGTGTACTATTGCATATACAAAAATGCTCAAGTACAAACTTCTTTAAACAAGTTCATAAGTTATATTCATAATATAATATTTAAGGACAAGGGACCTGTTGGTTCATCTAAACTGTATAAAAAAATAGCTCATGTCATTCATATATTTTACCAAGCCTTTTCTTAAACTCCCTTACGTTTACTGCTTCCACCATGCCTGAAGGCAACCCATTCCAAAAGCCAACTGCCCTATTAGAAAAATATAACTGTCTTAGCTGAAATGGCTCCTACCCTGCCAAAATCTATATTTATGTCCCCTATTCCTACCATTTTCACCATTAAGTATAAAACAAGATGATGCTTTGACACTATCAATTCCCTTAACAATCTTCAATGCTTCAATCAAATCTACTTTACCTCTTTTTTTTAATAATTTCAAAAATCTTAACCCATACTTATATGACAACCTTGCCATCCTAGTAGCCCTCCTCTGAACATTTTCAAACAATTTAGTTTCCTTCCTAAAAAAAGGAGCCCAAGACTAAACACAATAATCCAAAATGTGACCTAACCAGTGACCTACACAATGAAATTATAACCTCTTTATACTTGAATTCAATATTTCTGAAGATACAACCTAACATCCTATTTACCCTATCACTGGTAACAGTACATTGCTTGAATGGCATAAAACACTGATCAATCAGAACACCAAGGTCTTTTTCTTCAATAACAAATGTTATTCCCATCCATATTATACTTATGATTGAAATTATGATAACAGAGATGCATTACCTTGCACTTATTATAATAAAAAGCAATCTGCCATTTATTTGCCTAACTCATCAAATGATCTAAGTCCTTTTGTAAAGTGGCAGCATCCTCCTCACAGCCAGCAACACCCAAAAACCTTAACATCATCAGCAAATTTAATAAAGTAATTTCAATAAAATAAAATTCAATACAGTAATTTATTGATCAGTCCTTCATTCATGTTATTGATGTAAATCAAAGAGTGAATATCCAAATACTGAGCCTTGAGGTACCCCACTTATACTGTTAATCCAGTTTGATTGAACTCCATTTATAATAACCCTCTGCTTTCTTCCATCAATCTACTTATCTATCCAATGATTCATCTTACACCCACACCTAAACAGCTTGCTCATTTTTTTTAACAACCCCTATACATTGCACCTTGTCTAATGCTTTCTGAAAATCCAGGTACAACAAAAACCATATATTTACCTTCATCTACATATGCACTAACCTCATCAGAGAATGTCAAAAGATTAGTAAGGCCAATTTACCACCTGGTGAAACCATGCTGACTATCCCACAAAATTTTAAAACTTGTTAAATGCTCACAATAAACACGATATATTAAATAAAACTATTTGCAACACTATGAAAATATGTATCATCTTTCATTTAAAAAAAACAACAACAATACTGAGATAAGCAAATTTAATCTGAGTAAACCAACATTTAAAACCACTACATAATGTAAAACATTCAATGAATTTAAAAGTATGTTTTATACAGTGTACATATAACTTTCACCCAGAGCAGTTTGTATGGAATGTCTTACATTCCCTATGATGAACATAGCTTTGTCCGAAAGTAAGCATGAATGTGAGACACGCAAACTAGTCAGTGTACTTTGGACAAAGATTTCTACACACACAGTAAAAGGAGTCCTTATATACGACAGATCAAGTTTCACAATAAAAGCAGCATCTAGTAGGAAAAAAAATAAAATAATAACCATGCAGAACTGCTTTTTTTGTTTACAGTAAGTTTCTTTACTAGATGTAGTACTTGATTTTAGTGCAAACAAAACTTACACATATGTGTAATTGAAGGTTTGATAAAATTATGCTTTTAACAAAAACTGTGACACACTAAACTCTTCGAAATAATGCTTTTACAGAAGGCAATGTTTAAAAACCACTCAACCATATTCCATTATATTTATATATAACATAAAATGTAAAGAAATTTCATTCCATTGATTTAACAGAAAACATATATTCCTATATATTCATAAAACAGAAAATTGAAGACAATAATATATATGTCCCTACACTAAAAATATATTTCCTATACATAATTACATAATAGCTTCTCTCATTCAGTGCTGCCCTCTATATGCACAAATGTTTTCACTCACCACTAGCCTTGAAACGCCTCCCCCATCTCACATTTAACGTAGTTCTACTGCACTTTCACATGCACATAAACATGCAGCAACTCTCCACCAATAGGAACAAGACACACTTTCCCGATGCAGGTTACCCCCTCTATACTATTCAACTTAGCCTTCTCTTCAAGATCAGACACACACATAAAAAGCACAAGAAGTTGAAAGTTTGAGATGAGGTAAATATCTATCGGAAATATATTTTCAGTGAAGTAAAATATTAGCTTCCAATATGGTATCTTACCTCCGCTTAATATAATAGCTAGAATCCCACATTTACTAGGTGGAGGGACCAGTGCAAAAGTTACCTATATAAACATCCTATGGAAAGTGTCTAAAGAAAGCCTGTGGAGTGTGACCTCTGTTGACAGAGGAACACTCTCATGGGAGACTGCACCACATCTGTACCAGGTAAACTCTTCACCCAATGAGGTAGCAAATGTTGCATGAATGGGCAGAAATGAGTTGGAACACATCCGTGAACATAAATATGTCAGTTGGTCCATCTCAACACCCAAAATGTACATCCACGAATCAATCTTCAGGAGATAGCAGGATGAAGGGTTCCCAACCAAATATAGTAATGGCATGTAAAACAAAATGAATGTGCCCCACAGTGTGAAATAGCTAGGCCACATCGAACCATACGCAGTCGGTCAACTACAGTCCAAAACCAGGTGGCATTAGGTATTTTTCATCCATTCCTCGGTAGGAAGAGGGTCCCAACTGTCTTCACCTCCAGCCTATGAGTTGGAAGGGAAGATGTTCTATCCTGTCTGACTAGACAGGGCACATGTGCACAAATCCTCACCCAACACCAGCCACTCTGGAATCCGACACTCGAATGATGGTAGGAATAGAAGTGCCCTTGTGGCAGTTCACTCAAATCCAAAACCAACCCAACTGGTTCAAGTTTCTGGTCCAGCTCCGTGCACTTCCAGAACATATGAATCATGACCCACAAGTGATATGCCGGGGGTGCCCTAGCCAACCAGAGTACCTGTCAGCCAGTCCAACTCCTTGCAATACCAAACTCCCAAGCCTCAGCTTGACACAGGAAGTACCCCAGGGGTACATTGAGCAACTAATACATTGAGACCACTAGCCTTGAAACTCCCCTACCCCACATGCATGACAACTTACATTGGCCTGGTCCAGCTCTAACCCAAAATCTACTGTCTGGGAACCAATATAAGGGTGATAGTGGGATGAGGGGTCCCAAATGGAGAGGTAAACTGCATTTTGATGGATTTACTCCAGTTTATGAGTCAGTTGGAGGATCTATACCAGCAGAACACCACTGCCCAGCTCTCAACTGAATGGGATTAAGCACATTTAGGAGGAAGCCTCCATAGTCCACCATCCCAATGGCTAGGAACTGGTAAGTGGTTAATATTCCCATACTCTACTCGAAGGGGAAAGCACATTGGAGAGTCTGGAAGAATGCTTACACCAGGGACTATGCAATGGGTGATCACAGAAATCCTATTTTGAAACTCAGACTGCCCCTGATTTATTCAATGGAAGGAATGGGAGAGATGGGCAGCTATCCCCTTCTGTTTTACTCCTAATAGTCCATGAGTTAGTAAATTCTGGGACAAGCATAACTATGATGCAATATACCATGTGGTGAAACTTGTAGCATTCTTGTGGAATACCCCAACTCAACATTGTGCATTATAGGCCTGGAGAGAGGTGCAAATATATATATATATAGAGAGAGAGAAAAATTGGCAGGTCCAGCCCCATTTTTCTCTGGTGGGATATCCCAGCCAACTGCATGCCTGATCCAGCTCCTTGCTACACAAACCTCCAGGGGACAATCTATTGGAGGTACCTAAGGAGACAGGTTAGGATCAACTGGAGTCTGAAAAATTGTGCCTGGAAGAACCTAACCAGAGAATCAGGGTTGGCCCCCACACTTGCATCAGAGACTAAGTGTTGTGAGTTAAGAAAAGGATAGTCTGCTTGGTGATAAGTCAAAGCCAAAAGATCTGAACATCAAGGGGAGGAGACATGCTGAAACATGCACATATTTTTGCCTGGAACTGGTTAGCATGAACCCTGATATCTGGAGATGGATGAAAAACAAGGCCATGTGTAAAAAAAAGGAGCAGGGTCATATAAGATGGAGGACACAGATAAATGGTAGCATACCTGTGAAATCCCATCCAAAAAAGGCTGAGAGAGGCCTGGCATAGGATGGGGGAAGTAAAAGGTTATCTAAATCCTTGTCTTCTATATTAGGTTCTTCTGGACATGGAAGACCTTGTCCAGGTCTGGGAGAAACTGATTGTCTCATGTATTGTTCAAGCTCCTGTGAAACTACTGCAGGGACTTTCTCAGTCAAAAGTATTGAACCTTAAGCCTGAGAAATGACATTTGAAATAGTAGTAGTAATAGTCATGACATGAAATTCTGAATTCATGTTTCAACAAAAA